TGTGCAAGACCATCAGACCTCATGAAAGAGATTTCTGTCTGGGATCATCAGGCATCTCTCCAGACGTTTGCCCAAACCTGTCAAAACCACTATTTGACATGACCTCTTCATGGCTGGTTTCTTTTCCTCTTCCAGACAGAAGAATTCTATTCATTACTGCACTGTATACAACATTATTTTACCAGTTTTAATAAAGATTAATATTTATTTTCTGGATTTTCCAGTATATATTTATAGTTGTCTAACAATAGCTCTGCATGCATGCATCCAAGATACATTTTACAAGTGACACAGAAACATTATCTGTATTTCTCCAACCACATCTTTCAAGTACCAGTAGAACTGTCCTATATGCAGGCTGTGTATGTATTACAAGTTCAAGCCCACATAATTCAGTTAAATTTGTGGTCAGGAGACAACAGTGTATCACATTGCTCTGCAGGAAGAGCAGCCAGCCCCAGGCAGGCTAATACTAACATATAATCTTGGCTTTCTGTTCATGGGTGCTCTCATACAATTGATGGAGAATGTTTTTATGGGCAAAGTCCAGGCATATATTTGTAGACTGTAAACCCATACATAAATTTCACGTAAGATTAATTCAGTCCATTTGTGTATATGCTTTGTTGTCTAGTGTTTTACTTGACCATAGAAGCATTTTCCAAAAGACCTCTAGCCTTCCACTCTTACCTTGGTCTCTATTGTTTGTTATGTTACTATCACTAAAAGCAGCACTTTGGAACATTTCCCTTGAAAAATCACTGTTAAGTGAAAGCATTCAGTCATCTATGCTGTGCCAGCAGTACACTCTGTCTGTGGTGACCGTGTTCTTTTACAACACAGATCTTTCTCTTCCTCTCGGCTTTTGGGAAACACCACGTAGAGCAGAAGAAGTGTTCTGAGCATCCTCCACCAGATCAGAGAAGCGCATGGAGATAGGCAACATGATATGCAAATCTGCTCAGTCACAGTGTCCAAGCAGCTGTGCTTCCTCATATGCACGCAGGGAAATTGCCCATGTATTGTACTTTTTGCACTTTTTCAGCTACTCACACCACCCTTTCAGCTATGAATTTCACTTCTAATGCATCTACAGGGAAGAGTAAACAAAATGTATCCCTCTGCTTCAGGCAATAATGTGCCTCCTGCAGCTTTCCTGGTCTAACTGGCTGAACCTGCTGCTGTCCCTTTCTTACTACAGGCTGACAAGTAGAAACATGAAAAATCTCTCACTTACTTCAGAGGAGAAAAAGCTCAGGAGAACAGGAAGCTGCGTATGAAAGAAAGAACAAAATAATGACAAAAAAAGCAAAAAATGAAAGGCCTACACTGAGGTCAGGTGAAGAAGAACAATCAAGGGAAAAGGAAATTAAAATATGGGGTACAAAAAGAAAAAGAAGGCAAAAAGGGAAGTTATTAAAGAATTACAGTTGGTATGCTGAAAATAGAAGGGAGATAAGGCAAAATGGTGTTGTAGAGGAAGTGGAGGAGACACTAACATGTGAAAGATTAGAAGAAGCAAGAGAGATACAGAAGACATTATAGAAAAAAAGGAAGCTACAATGTTGTCTTACAAGCTAAGCTATTTCAACAGTCCTTTGGTGTTTGTCACGTAATGATCACTAGGCTATTAAAAGTTCTGAACCATTTCCAGTGAGCAGCCAGTTCCTCGAACCGACCTGCTGTTGGAAGCCAGTATTCTGACATGGATAAATAGATAATTTAGAAAAGGAACCCAGGGATGGGCTGACAAATACCAACAAATGGCAACTGTTGAAAAAATAAATAGTTTTTATTCAGACCAAACTTTAGCCTTTGGATTGAGAGGATATAAAAAGCCTGTTTTGTAAGGCACACATTTTCTCTTCCACAGTCCTGAGACCCCTAGCACAGAGAAACAAAAAAAACCCCGAACAAAACCAAATAGCTTTTATTTTATATTTGAAATATGAAGCAGGTGTCTTATTTAAAGGCAACCAACCAGCTAAGCTAGTTAATATGGCCCAAAATAACCCTTTCCTGGTCTGCCAGTGGAGGCAGCTGAAGGTAAAATATAATGTAATCCAAATTACTGTATCATAAGGTCAACAACCCTTGCTCAGTGGGGGGTTTTGTTGACATTCAACTGACAAAAGGGAGTCAGTTAAAAAGTAGAATTACTTATAGAAGACCAAATGGCACCTAAATTTAGCTCATAATATGAAGATTACCTACGCTGCACCAGGCGGGTGTTGATTATTCTATAGCCTCATATACGATGGATTTTACTGCACCAGAGAGACAGGACTGCAAATGACTGAATTTTTCCAAGCTGTTCCACACATATATCACACAGCTTGAACAAAATTAATATTAATGAAATTAAGGCAAATTATTAGTTCAGGCAAGATCTAGTGCTATATGTTTGGCATGATGTAGTGTAATTAGTACTGATCAAACTATTAACCATAGCAAATTATCAGTCACATTTTGCCCTTGGTGTTTTTTAGTGGCTCTTCTATGATCATGATTTTTATTGACTTTCTTGGTTCTGATGTTGGCTAATACTACTCAAAATCAGTATGTGAGAAAAAAAATTACCCTAGAGGCTTCTTTTGTGCTCTTGACACCAAACTTGTATCCTTGTATCCTTAAGTACTTGCATTCAGTTTATTAATAACAGGACAGTTGGTCTTTTAATTGTCTGATTTGATAACTCCACCCCAGCCAAAACCAGAATATCTGTGTTCCCTTCTTTTACCAAAAAAAAAAAAAAAAAAAAAAAGGAATGGGGGAAGTTATTACTGTTTGACAGGTTGGGAATGAAGGCACAAAGACTACGTTTAAGCTTGAGGAGGAAAGCATTCATATTAAATCCCAGCAACATCCTTACATACACACGTGACAAATCCATCCCTCCTTGTTTTTTGCAAGAAGAGTGAAACTTTGGCACTGGTCTGAGCAGAGATCTTCAGGGCATGCAAGATAAATGCCCTCTATGAATGGACCATAGAGCACAAACCAACAGACAGCAGTCTAGAACACACTTAGAGAGGTTTACCAAAGTGCATAGTAGTTAAAGTATCACTTTATAATATACAGTCTAATATAAAATAACAAATTCACATTTATCTTCAACCTCCCAGCTAATGACAGTGTGTCTTGTTTGCCTCATTTCTTGACAGGAACCTGTGTTACCCTTGCCACCCTCCATAAAATAAATAAATAAATAAATAAATAAATAAATTTTGAGTAATAGACTTTCCCAAGCTTATATTCTGATGTCATTAGTGCTGAGAAAATACATACTAATTGGAACAATTATCTTGAAGTTAATATAGCATGACAATTTAAATTAACAAAATTAAACCAAAATCACTAAACACATTTTTTCTCCAAGAATGCTAGATTTTTTTCCCTTATTTTGCCAAACAGCTCTTATCTTCATCCACTCCCATCTACATTGCATACACTACCTTTGTATGAAATGGAAGTAAGTATTCTCCAAGCCATCTGAAGAAGTTTGGAACATTTTACTGAAGCCATTGATTTAAAGCATAACAAAGAAATTAGCATATGGAATAAACTGCTGTAGTATCAGGAGTAATTGATGATTGTTTGACAGATCAGTCCCCATATATTTTAACCATTACTTTCTTTCCCATGTAAGCATTCCTTCACTGCCAATCGGATCTTCACTTGGCTTTCCAGCCTGTGTGCATGCACGCTGTCCAGACAACCACATAATGTTTCCCTTTTGGAGTGGCTGTCTTTGTTCACCAGCAAAAATAGTTCTGTTAAAGTATTTATATTATAGACAAATATTACAACATGGAGACAGTACCACTTAGCCACACAACTTCATTGTTTTATTGCAAGCACAAACACCTGGGGTTGTGTGTTTCATTTGGAGAGTAGGTTAGCAAAGATTTTTTTTTCCTGGCACCTACAATCTGCACACATAATACTGCATAGTCCTAAGGACAGGAAACTTATTTTATTTTGGGTTCTAACAATGTGTCTGTTTCAGAGAAGCTGTGGATGCCCCATCCCCAGAAGTGTTTAAGGCGAGCTCGGATGGGGCTTTGAGGAACCTGGTCTAGTGGAACATGTGCCTGCCCATGACGGTGGGGTTGGAATGAGATGATCTTTAAGGTCCCTTCCAACGCAGGTCATTCTGTGATTCTGATTGTCTGGTATAATTTGTAAAACAACCAGAGAGTGGTAAAAAGTATTTTACTTGATCAATTTAGGAACGGAGGGGAACAAATTTAGCTGTGGGTGTTCGATGGGTTTAATAGGAATTCTGTAGATGAGCAGGTGATTTCTTCCTGGTTGCCTGAGCCTTTTCCGCACAACGCTACGTCAGTGCTGCCTGTTTGCACAGGGCGAGCTCAGCACCACCCTTCCCATGCCCAGTCCCAGGCCTTACTGCAGGGCCGGCAAGTTCAGAGAGGCAGGTGGGGTGCAACACCCTGCACCCACAGGGTCCCTAGCCGGCTTCTGGTAATGGAGAGGAGACAGGGAGCCAGCATGGGTCACTGGAACCCTCCACTTGCCACGCATCCTGATAAAGCCCCTTTTTGTCCCACAGACCTCTCTGTCATAACGCGCTTTGCCGAACGCTGGGGAGAAAACCCGAGTGTTTTCAGAGACTTCACCGGGAGAAAACTTCGCCGCCGCCACCACCACTAGAAGGGAGCAGAGGATGGCACCGGCAGGGAGCTGGAACTTCCCCGGCCTGAGCCCTCTTTCGAGGCTCAGCTCCCGCCACGGCCGCCACCCCGCTCCGCTCTCCCCGAACACTTCCAGCCCATCCCGCCCAGTCTGGCGGGTGTGGAACCTCGGCAGCTTCTGGGCGACACGCAAACCTACTCCTACTGTTCTATGCCCCGGTTCCCACCCGGTACACTGGAGCGGCGGGGCGGGCCGGGTCCCTCCCCCTGCCCCTCCCCGCCGCCCTCCCCCGGGCTGGTATAAGCCCGCGGAGTTTCCGCGTCCTGTGACTGCAGTCAGGTGGTGCCCGGGGTTCCCTTCTCCCTTCCCTCCCTCCCTCTGTCCCGCTCCGTCTTCCCCCTCCCGGCGAGGGCCGGCCCTGCGGGGAGCCGGCTGGGGAAAGTTGGAGGAAAGTTGCTAGCTGGGAAAGTTTAGAAGCGGGAGAGCCGCGGCCCCGGCAGCCCGGCCTCTCCGCCGCGCTCCACGGGAGGGAGGGCCGAGGATGGCCGGCGGGGAAGGAGCGGGCTCCGGCGTGCCGGAGTGCCGGGAGCACCTCTTCAAGGTGCTGGTGATCGGGGAGCTGGGTGTGGGGAAAACCAGCATTATCAAGCGGTACGTGCACCAGCTCTTCTCCCAGCACTACCGGGCCACTATCGGCGTGGATTTCGCGCTCAAAGTCATCAACTGGGACAGCAAGACTCTGGTGCGGCTGCAGCTCTGGGATATAGCAGGTACGGGACAAGGCGGGCTTCTCCCTGCAGGGTGAGCCCGGAGGGTGCTGCGAACCTGGCTATCGGGGGCCCGGGGCCCGGCCTCTGCGGAGGAAAGTGTGTTTTGACAGTGAAATCCGTCTTCTTGTTTTTCTCCTTCCCCTTGTTACGTGCAGCCTCCCTTGCCTGCATTTGAGGCATAAGTAGAAGGAGGTCTTGACGTGGGAGTGAAGTTTTTGACTTTTTAGCGGCTCTGTGTGCTCCTGTTAACTGAGGTTGTTGGGCTCTTGGCTTGGCCCTGGGTTTTGTAGCGGTCCTCAAACAGCTGCTTTGCTCTGACTGCCGGATCCACAGCTCACGGAGAGTTCCTGCTCATACTGCTCCTCCTGACCTGTTTGTCTGGGCGCTAGTGGCCTTGGTTATGGATACTGCTGAAATTAATTAATGGTTAAGGCTCTGTAATGCATCTAGAAGAAATAAATATCTTTTCCAAGTAGGTTATGTTTAGTAAGCAGGCTTTACAGGTTAAAGGTAACCCAAACAGCTAAAATTGCCCTCAAAAGAAGTATGCTAAACTTTATGTGTTTGGAGTCACCTCCTTGATTTAAAAGTAACTTACGTCCCTGGAACGTGGAGTGAGGGAATGGAACTTCTGTCCTGGTTAGCTCTGCATTCAAATTATGAGTGTGGTATTAGAAAGGTACTTAGAACATGTGGAAGCAGAAAAGCCCTGTTCACTTGTCCAAACTGTGCATCATTCTGTATAGTTCAAAACTGTTCTTTAGCACCTCCATTTCAGAGATTCCAACTGTATACCTACCATGGTTAACTTCTGCTGCAGTGTTAAATGCCATAGAACAATCTGTTTCGCTGTGGCCTTGTAAGAAGTCTGTCCTGTCAGCACCTTAATCACCTTGGTTGGTATTGTATTTCTAGTTTTGTGTGCAGCCCAGGTGTTAACCTGCATCTCTCTTCATCTGTGTCTGCTATGGTTAGAATATATCCAATTTTGGATATGAAAAAGTAGACTGTATTTCAAATCCTAGTGTTTAAACTTACTGCTACTGGAAGACATAAGGGAAAAAAAAATGGTAGTTACTGTTTCCATTAACTCCATGCTTTATCAGTGGAAGCTCAGAAATGAGGAAGTGTGGCTGCTGTAGCCCTGTGACAGACCAGCTGTACATCAGCTTCTGTCCTTTCTGCTATAGAATGCTACAAATGCGATTGCTCAGACTAAGCAGCCTGCTTCTCACTGCCATATGCTGAAACACCCCATGTATCTTTCTGCTGCTGGCCTGTAGGACAAATGAAAATATTTTCTAATTGCTGTTTTGAAGAGTATGTAAAATGTTGGCAAGCTTTCTCTTTTCAGGTCTCTTTTGTGTTCCTTTTGTGGATCAGCTTTAACTTTCTGTAGATCAATTAACAGTATCAGTACAAGCTGCTGCATTCCCCTGGGTATATTTTAGTAAGTCTGGGGTTCCAAAGATAGAGGAAGGGAGGCTATCAGGATCCTGGGGTTTGGCAGGCTGCCATGCTTGCATTTGACTTCTTTTCAATCCTTAGTCCCTGAGACTGGGGCAGGCTGTATGTTTTCCCAAAGCAATCAGTTTCAACAGGATAGGCAGAAACTTAGCTGTAACTTGTAACAAAGTTTGGACAGAACCTATTTATATTTTGGAAGTTCTATCAATATATCCGTGTGTTAAGTTCAAGATCAGAAGATAGTATTTTTCACTCTTGATTATTGCCCCTAGTGTGTTTTTGACACTTCTAGGTGAAGACTGAGTTAAGAGCTTCTACTTAGTCCCTGGAGGCTTGTGCTAATATTTCTGATAGATTGAAGAATTAAATTTTTTTCCTATCACTGAAATATTTTTCTTATTTCATAGTACTTTTGTATGAAATCTCTGGCTAGTCTTTCCCTAGCAAAAGTGGGAAGATACAATTGTTTTGCAATTTGCATTCTAAACTCTTAGTCTAATCTGGTAGTTTAGGCTATTCTGTTTTCAAGGGGCTGAAGGTTCTTCCCCCGAAAAACAAAAAAACCAAAACAAAAAAACCCACCAAAACAAAACAAAAAACCGAACCAAAAATGAAGACCAAGAGGGGAAGTAATCTTAGACTTAATAATTTTTGATTGGCATGTGCTTATCCAGCGTGAGAGCAACAATGTGGACTCCTATAGCACTTGACGTCTCAGAGTTAATAATTAAAATAAAGTGTTTTAATAGCCATAAGGGTTATCTGATGGTCTTAAAACTGCTGAAGTCCTCAACCTGGGAGTGTGTTCTGCAGCTATTTATGTACACAATCAGGAATATTTCCACATACCTGAAGATGTTAACTGACTTACATTGAAGTTATTAGTTAAAAAACCAGGTTGAAGATGGCTTCCATACAGTCATAGAACATATTCTCTAAAGCACTTTATTGAAGTGTGTAGCACAGTGCCCGAGCATGTGATAGTCATTCCCTTTTAACTCATCAGCCCAGCTGTCTTCTGGCTTTCAACAGCTCATGTAGATAATTTTGTCTGCTGGTGTGTGCAGACAAACTGCTTTAGATCTCTTGAAGAGATCTGAATCTTATGGTAAGTAATGTTACATGTGACTTCCCTGCAAGCAATATGGTGCTGGCATTCTGAATTGATTTTGATGCATTTAAATAGGCTTCTGAATTAAAATCTATAGCATAGAAAATCTAAAAGCACAGAAAGAGTGATTACATAAGCCAGCAGTGAGCCCAGATGGCCAAGAAGGCCAATGGCATCCTGGCCTCAGGAACAGTGTGGCCAGCAGGACCTGTGATTTTTCCACTGTACTCAGCGCTGGTGAGGCTGCACCTCGAGTGCTGTGTCCAGCTCTGGGCCCCTCAGTTCAGGAAGGATATTGAGATGCTGGAGCAGGTCCAGAGAAGAGCAACCAGGCTGGTGAAGGGACTTGAGCACAAGTCCTATGAGGAGAGGTTGAGGGAGCTGGGGCTGTTTAGCCTGGAGGAGGCTCAGGGAAGACCTCATCACTCTCTACAGCTACCTGAGAGGAGGTTGTAGCCAGGTGGGCATCAGTCTTTTCTCCCAGGCAATCAGCAGTAGGACGAGAGGCTAGGATCTTAAGCTGTGCCATAGGAGGTTTAGTTTGGATATTAGGAAGAAATTTTTTATGGAGGGAGTAATCAGACATTGGAATGGGCTGCCCAGGGAGGTGATGGATTCACCGTCCCTGGAGGTTTTTAAGATGAAGCTGGATGTGGTACTGAGTACCATGGTCTAGTAACCACAGCAGTGTTGGATCAAGGGTTGGACTTCATGATCTTGGAGGTCATTTCCAACATGGTTGATTCCGTGATAATTTTTCACTAGATCAAAGCTTGTACATAACAGTTCATCATAAAAAGCTCTCCTTAAAGACCTGGATGCTGCAGTCTAAGGTTTTGTACTTAAGTTGATGCTAAGAACTGACCATGTAGTTCATTCTTAAGGCCATAAGGCAGATATTGTGCTGGCTTCTGGTGTGATTGTAGGCAAAATGACAAGTGTTGTGCTGTGTATTGCAATGCAGCAGGTTCCTGGGTGACTTCAAATTCTTGTGCTAGCTGAGGATTTAGTTTTGTGGGTGTTTGTTTGTTTAATGTTTAGATAATTCTATCAAATAGAGCATGACAATGTTACACTGCCTATGCTATTTTTTTTCTTTTTTCTAGTGAAAATAACTGCTTTGTTGTAAGGTACAAACTAATGCAAACTTTTGCAGCAGCATCAGAGGGAAGGGGATGTGAAATGAAGGGAGAGGAAGTGTACTGTTGTGCATAGACTTATGTATTTCAGAGTTACTCAGGCATTTTAGTTTTTAGACACTGGTTGCAACTTCTTGAATAATGGAGATGAAAAAGCTTAGTAGTAAGACTAATCAGTCACTGTCAAATTATCTTGGTTACAGCATGAAGTATTCCAAAAAAAGCTGGACAGGTTACATGCATGTTCATACAGGAGCAAAGCTTCTAAACCTTAGCTGCCCTTAGGCATTACTCCCAGGTGTTTTGTTTGGTTGTTATCTTTTTAAAAAAACAAAAACTTGATGTGTGAAGTAATGATCAATTTCTCTTTCTGGATAAATTCTGAAAGTGTTAGAACCAGGTTAACCATCTTGATCAAAGGGCATAAATGATTGGCAAATAGGACACAAGAATGAATCATTGTGATAAAGAGATGTAAAACAAAGGAGTCTTAATGATAGGGAAGTGCTTTTATAGTCTGTTTCAATACACTAGAGATTCCTACTTGACAAACATGCTGTGTTAATGAGTATACTGCACTGACCACAATGTGGTCAGGAGGTGTATCTAGCGTATTGATGAAACTTAGTCAGATGATACTGAGAGAACACTTCAAGGATTTTCTATATCATAGAACCTTTTGATCTGATCTAATGAAACCAGCAACTGAGTAGCGTTAGCTGCTGCTCTATGATCACGTTGATTATCACTGTCACTCATATCAGCCTGTATGAACATGCAACTTGCTGGAGGGCAGGAGTGGTAAAGATCATAGATGACCACTTGAGCTTGGCTTCTCATGGAGGATGCCACTAATGGCAACTAGTAGACAAAGTTGATTTTAAAGCTTTGGCTGAGCAATTCTGAATTAACTTCACTGTAATAGCACCCTTCTTCCAGGACTTGATTAGAATTTTGTTATAAAAATATTTATTAAAAATGAAGTAATGCATTAACTCGAAGAGTGTGGCTATGAAATAGGCCAAACAGAAGAGGAGTTATTGTACTTTGGTATTCTAAATCTGCTTTACATGCTTTCAGGAGCTGAATGATAAGACTTGTAGCATGCAAATTTGTTATTAAAACCTGGTTTGTCTCCTTGAGAAGATCTGAACTCTAACTAAGAGTATATACCAGTCCCTGGAGCCCCTGGTGGTCTAGGGGTAAAGGCGCCGCGCTATCACCGCCGAGACCCGGGTTCGATTCCCGGTCAGGGCCACTCCCGGGCAGGTGGGGCTCGTTAG